ATATATATATATATATATATATCTGTTGTAAACTGATATAATCGTACTGAATTATATCTGTGTTTAACATCCATCCACTGGGGAGGCCAGTGATAGCTTAAAGACCAATCCGGCATTTTATCTTTGTATAGCAAGCTTGGAAAACCTGGCAGGTTGACAGCTGGCTTGATGATTGGCTATTAGCACAATTTGAAATTTCAACACAAAAAAAAGGTGTAAGAGCCCTCAACAATTAAGCAACATCTTGATAAACAGATTAGATTTTTCTACAGCTACAGGTTTGCCAGATAGCATTATCAAAATTGATTGTGTGTCAGATAAAGTGTAAAGTATTAAAGTTGAATCACAGTTTTTGCTGCTCTAATCCATCTTGATACTTCTATTTCAACACTGCCCCGTTGAAAGAAGCTGTTTCCATCCAAATGTCATGTAAATTTTGAGCAAACTCTAAAAATGTTTAAAATGATAAAATGAGACTTAACCAGTGATTAACCAGTTGATACAAAGCGTAATGTCATTTATACAATTAAGTTACACTTGTCAGTAATAAATAGTAAGTAAAGATAGCAAGCCAGTAGACCGCAGATAAGCATTAAGCTGAGGCGTTAATGAATGTTTTAAAATCAGCCAAGTTGTACTTACTTTATCTTGTCAGCTAAAATTAGTAATAAACACGGCTTCAGGAGATGTCATTAGATAGTAGAAACAGTTGATCAGTAATGTGAAGTAATTATTTGCTGTATCAGCATTGTTGTACAATATGCCATGATCATGGTTTTTGGACATTGTGAGGAAGTCTAGCAGCCGTTTGCTGAGGGGTGTATTGAAGCTCAGCTTTTCCAGTTTGCCCATCAGATGCTGGGGGATGATAGTGTTGAAAGCTGAACTGAAGTCCAGGAACAGCATCCGCATGTGAGTGTTATTCTCCTCTAGGTGTGCCAGGCTCAGGTGGAGAGCAGCAGAGATGTCATTCTCAGTGGAGCTGTTTCGTCGGTAGGCAAACTGGAGCAGGTCGAATGTCGAATGCAGACTGGAGACGATGTGTTCTTTAATCAGCCTTTCGAGGCAGTTCATCAGGATTGGAATCAGTGCGACAGGCCGTAATTATTTAGTGAGGTGACCGAATATTAAAATATTGTGTTAATTCAATAAGGCAATTAAATGTTGTTGTAACCTATGGGATATTTTTTCAAAAAGTTTTTGTAGATGTTGTTGATGTAGTGATTTGTTTCCATCTGGAATAGCTTCCGACTAACAACATCCTGCTGTTGTATGGCATTTTACCACAGTTTTCTTAATCTCATGAAGAATTGTTCTTTGTAAAATCAATTGGTTCTAAAGGAGTTTCCAGAACAAGGCCATACTTTTTTATTGGCTTGCTGAGCTTCTTTAAAGAACAAGGCCATTAAAGCCACCACCTTGTACTATTTGTTGTGTTTAAAGATCTTATAGGAGCAGTCACTTTCACCTTTGTGATTCTTGAAAATGGATTTGGCCAGCTATTTATCTTTGTTAAAATGTATATGGAGAGCAGGGAGCTGCAAAGCAAACAAAGAAGCGAACACAAACAAAAAAGAAAGATGCTGCTTTCCCCATTGCTTTCTTTCTAATGATCAGTGTTGTATTCCTCCAAGCCAACGCAGCTTAGCTTATATGTCCTCAATGTATATTTTGGTTGTGTTAAGCCATTTTTTTTATTTTTTTTTTTATTATATGATTAGCACATACTTCGTTAAGTCACTCTATTCTAAAACAGCTAAACAAACAAAATGTGACATCTAGGGAATATTTATTGGATTTCTTTTTTAGCAGTACCTCTATTCATTTTGGAATTTGGTGGGGTTTTTTTGTTGTATATTTAAGAAAAAAATGAAACAAAGAAAATGCCATTCTAATCAGAGCCATGCTGAGCCGGGATCCCATTACAGGCACCTGCTTACTGTAACAGCTTCAGTGTAATAACAAGGGGCAATCACCCGTGGCAAAGTAGAAGTGTTTGTTTTTGCAACAGACCTGCTCTGATTGTTAAAAGTGCCTAACAATATTACGGAAATTATGTATTGTTGCTTATGTTTTACTTTCACTGGCCCAAGTCCTCGCTTAGCATGGAACTGTAGGTGATGTTTACAAATTGTACAGCTACATTGATTCTGATTAAACTTCTCCTTTTTGCCATTTCCTCAGACGAAGACAAACAGTTTGTATTTGTTTCCTTAACATTAAGGTGAAATATTTAACCATTGATGTTACTGGGTAGGGACGTCTGTATCTAATGAGATATCAATATGTTTTTGCAGCAGAGTGCACAGAAGAAGAGTTTCTAAAAAAGGTTAGTGAAGAGAACCTATGCTACAGCTGGACTGACTTCAGCCAAATAACTTTTAGTCAGTCTGAAGCGGTTTTCAGTGTAATAGCTTAATATTGCTTTTTTTTTTTCTTTGGGGTTAGATGCAGTAGTGTTTGATTTCTGCTCCTTTTTGATTAGCAGTACTAACTTATTTGAAAATGACCACTGGGAGTACAGTAACCTACAAGGCAAATTGGAGGATTTTTAGTGTCCCAGCCCCAAATGGGAATGTTGTAAAAGCTGAACAAAGCATTTTGACACAGTAATTTCCAAAAGCAAAAATATGAATCAGTTTTTATGAATCTTCATTTGTATTCCCACCATGCAGCTTGCAGCACAGCTTCCACTTAAATTCCACCTTATTTCAGTTTTTTTAATAATGTAATTTAAATCCAAAACTTTCTTAAACTTCTTCCCTCCTGACAAATGGGGTTTATACATTTTAGTTGCTTTTAGTTGTCTTCACATGATTGCCACAAACTGGGTGTCTATGTGTTGTGACATCACTGATTGGCTCTTGATTGATGCGGTTTAAGCTGGTATCGGTGTGACATTGAAGTGTCTCTTTTTGAGTGTTTACAAAGCTTTGATTTGGCATCAGTCATTGGGGAAAAAATAGGTAAGCTTTAAAAAAAAAAAGCCTGACAGTCTCTTCTTTATAAACCATCCTTGATAAAGGAGCATCATTACCCCAATAATTGCTTTGTCCTTTTAATTATAGCACGCATTTGTGAAACTGTTGCCGTCTTCTTTCATTTTCCTGGACTAACAAGGTTGTTTCTGTATTTGTAATCAAATAATTGTTTCCTCGTTTTTTCTGCATGGTTCATAATCCTTGTTTTACCACTGTCTCTATCTTGTAGGTCCCATGACAACCAAGCATAAGAGAGAGCCTCTCTGTGCAATTTTATGCTCATAACAGAAAAGCATTTCTGTTCCGGTCGCAAACATTTTCACTTTGCAAGAACAGAGAATATGTCTGTTTATAGTTGCATTTAAAAATGTCATGCTGTTTCAAAGGAGTGATTTCTTCTCTGTTCATCCCTCATCTGGCAAACGTCAGAGATGATGACTGAAAGGCCTCGGGGTGGCAAAGTCTGATATCAGCTGGTGCATTTGAAAGTTGGTCAGGCTGTTCATAGAACAAACACTGAGGATGGCAAGAACTTTGGATGCAGCTTGAAATAGAAAAGCTCACCCAATGTTCATGACAGGCTGACAGCCAATTATCAGCATCTCTTTTCTTCACAGAGTTCATTTTTGTACATTTTTCCATTCCGAAGACTTGAAAAGGAGGCCATTTTTCCAGACAGTGATTTCTTCCAATATCTCATCTCCTGGTGCTCTTTTTCAACACCCAAGCAGGCTCTCCCATGGGGTTACAGTCTTGCAAGCCTTACAACTGCTGCCTTCAAAGCAAAGAGGAATGCAGACCTGCTTGTGGCTGTGCTTGTATGTGTGAGGATTGGAGATATTGCTCTGACCGCTGCTGTGACATCTGTTGCCAGATGTGTGTGGACCTGTGCTCTGGCTTGTGTTCAGGAGACTGCAGCTACACTTTCTGTACAGTCTGTCTTGCTCTGGCACAGGACTGCCTTTTACTTTTCACCAACCAACAAAGTGAAACATCAGACTCACGTTGTAAGTAGAGCTTTGATAACGCAGCTGTTATACTAATTTCCTTGTTTGTATCACAGCTAATTGAATGTTTCATCTATTTTGGAAGCTCCAGCCCCAGAACAGCTCGTGTAGCTGAAGGTTGGAGAAGAAAGCATGTGACCAGAAGCCTAGAAATAACTCACAGGTGAAACAGAGTCAGCTACACAGTATTAAATGTGTTTGTTCTGAAGGCTTGGCTTTGGTTATGCAGCTGTAATGCAACACCTTCATTTGTGTTTTTTTTTTTTAACACAACTGATTAAGCGCAATTCAAGTACAATGTTTTCAAATAAACTATTTTTATAGTAGAGTGATTTACATTTAAATTGTGTGACCTGCTCTGTGGCTTTCCGTATTCTTGAACAAGCTTCTAACAATAATTTCACAGCAATATTAGCCCATGATTTTTTCCACACAAAACTGTTAGAACTGTGTTTGGGTTGTCTTTTCAATTGAGCCCTTCCAAAATATTTGTACTAAATGTTTTTAACTTCAGCAACCTTGTTGTCCTTAAGTCACTTTTTACTAGCCTGTGTGCCATTCCGAACTTAGTCCCGCCCACAAGGTTTGAGGTCGGGAAGTTCGGTCTGGCATTGCTCAATAGTAGCGGGAGTATGCTCGCACAACATCTGGTGGGCCAATCAAATTGTCAGGGCGGGCTTTATACGATGATGGACAGATGATCAACAGTAACGTAATCAACCACGTGACCAAAGCGCGCTTGGGTGACAACAACAAAAGAGGAACAGAGAAACGCGATCAAGGCATTTGTTGAAAAGAAAGGATTTGGCAAAAGTTTAATTTATCAGCTGGCTCTCTCGGTCGCTTAACATACGTCACGCACTCCGTTGCTCTTATTGGTTGTAGGTCTATCCAATTGAGTTCAGAGGCATTTTTTTTCCCGGTTCGTTCGAAACACACCCCATAATCACAGCTCTATGGAACAGTATCAGGCTCATATTCTGACTAGAATTGAGTCGGACTACGTCAGGCTAACTTTTTACTAAACTTGGTGGTATTTATGACATAATCATCTGGGCTTTTAAGAGGTTGTTGAAAAGCATATTTTTTTGTATATCGAGACTTCTGACTATAATAGAAGTAATAACAAAATTTGCAACAAATTCTTGTGGCATTTATCCAAAAAAATAAAAAAAATTATTCCTAACTGGCCAAAGTAAAACAACTAATTTCTAGTCTTTGAGAATAAAAAAAAAATCAAGAATCAATTATTCAAGATTGAAGGGGACCCTAGTTATGATTTAATAAAAACGATATATGTCTTGATATACAAACAACAGGTGCATCATTATTCAGCAAGTTTTATCTGTAACAGAACAAAGAAGTCGATAGGTATACTAGGCTGACCTGTGGAGAAAAATTCCTGAATCCTCAACAGACTTGTGAAGCAAAGATAGCAAGACAGTGTCAAGGTTTTGATTGCTGTACATTTAGTTTTAGAACAAATATGATTTAGTGGATGTGAGCTTATGGATTTTTCTTTTCTTCATGTGTTTGGCTGAAACTAAATTCACACCATGCTATGCCTTGGAGGACCACTGTTGTTCTTATATGCGCATAACAACACTCTGCACTCCAGACACTAAAATACACTTCATAACTTGTCAAGAAAAATAGAAATGCTTGAGTCAAGAAAAGCTGGGAAGTTTAATATATAAAAGAAAAACAAAACCTGTAGTTTTATTTAAAATATATAAATGAAATGCAATGATAGTATTGCCAAAAAAAACGAAAATAAAAAACAATCCACTGGACTTTGTTTCCAAGTCTGAAGGAAAAGTGTTGAGTTCAAGTTTTATGAAGTAGAACATCGAAACCTTGTTTTTTTTGTTTGTTTTTTTAAACATGCAAATTGTAATGGACAAAGGGCTCCAAAGGGCTTCTTTTGTTAGCCTGCAATGCCCCATACCCGTCTACGAGTCTTAAAGAGGGGTTGTTAGAGAGAGTTGTTTGAAACATCTTCAGCTTGGAAACAAAGTCTAGTGCATTGTTTTAAATTTTTTTTATTTTTTATTTTTTTGAATGACTATGACCTGGATGCTGAGAATCTTCATCAGCAATAGTGGTCTTGATTCACTGATGCATTCTGTAAACACAGTGCCCCAGTCTTTAACTAGACCACCAATGCAACAGTACTAAAATATATTTGTGTGCATGACTGCTATTCACTCAACCTGCTGTGTCTTAATGTTAAGTGTGGTTGAAGGATTATGCTTTTTCTACTAGTGAGATGCATTTTAGACTCTTTTTGACCAGATAAATCTGAGGGGTTGAGATAAGATAATTAAAGAAAATATCTAAACAAATTATTAAAACACAGTTTATTCATTAAAAAAACATTACATTTCAGAATGTTTAGTGAGAAAGCAATTTTCTTTTTTTTTCTTATTTAAAACCCAAAATATCCTGAGAATGAGTTTTGAAATTCTGATTTGAAAGTGTTAAATGTTTCTAGGTGTTCAATACCCTAAGCTTTGTTTTCTATGAATTTAAAATCATGAAATCCATTGCAGTTTTATTCAGATTATAGTGTATATGATAGTAGTAGTAGTATTTGGAGTGTACTGCATCCCTTAAATCAGTTGAATATATTTGATCAAAGCATTTGTTCACCCAATCATTAAATTCATACAACTGCCTTTTCTGTTATGCAGCAGTTAAAATAGATAATGAAGACCAAACAGACTTTTTAAGACTTCGGGGCGGTTTGTCAAGGATTATAAATAAGGAGTTGCAAGATGCACCAGATAAACAAAACCAAAAAAATAAAAAATAAAAAAGCACGTCCTTTTCAATAGGGGGGTATGTTGCAGGGGATCTCAAACACAAAACAATACCAAAAAGTTACCATGCACTGCCTGCTGAAGCAAAGAAGTTTGCAGAGTGTACTGTACAAACTAGTTGCTTACCTTATTTTTAAGATCTAGAATCTGGATATCAATCAAATAGGACAGGGAAAGGGAGAATAGCGTAAGACTCTCTATACAAGGTTTTGATGAAAAAAAATATTCATGAGATCTACTTCCAGATTATGGCAGCAAATAAGTCTGTAACAAATGAAAGTCCTACAGTAAATCACTTTGACCCTATTTTAGTTCATTTGTGCGGTACGGATGTAGGTAAATCAGCACTGCTGCAGTTGGTGAATCACTCATTAGCCGCAGTTCTTACTCTGTGGCCTTGAAGTTAACAAATGTTGACTTGTTGAAAGCAAGAATGAATGATAATTTATGAGGGAATCATTGCCACTTCCAGTACTGCACTAGTTGGCAAATCATCCCTCAGATGTACAGTAGCTGTGTTTCCATTAGAAATGTAAGCAAAACTTTATTATTCAGCTAATGCAGACAAAACAATATTTTGCAATAGTGATATTTCCATTAAATGAAAAATATTTTTTTAAAATCACACATAATTTTTTTCCCCCACAATAGTGCATCATCCTCTGAACTTCCTATCATCTTCTTCGTCTTTTTTTTTTTTTTTTTTTTTACCAGTAGTGACATAAAGTTGTGGATGACTTGATAGGGGTAAAGCAAAAGAAAATAAAGATTTGTAATTGAAAAAAAAAATTTTTCAAAATTGACATGTTTCAAATAAGTGAACTAATTTTCATGATTACAAATTCTGCACTTTAATAGGTATTTAATTGCTACTCCTGTGGCCAGTGGGGTCATGAAATATGACTCAAATTTGGAGCAAATGTATCAAATCCAGATTTGTGCAGTCAGTACCAGATTTTTAAAATGTTTTTCCATTTCTCACTCTTGGTCCAGATTTGTGGAACTACTTGTCCTTACACCATGTTCATGACACAGTACTCCTAAGACTTTCTCTACACTAAATTAAAATCAACAATTCAAACTGAATTAAAGAAGGAGAATTAAAATGTTAACAAATAAAACTTTCAAAGCAGATAAAAAAAAAATTATACTTGATTAAAATGTTTTGTAATTCAGCTTTCTTTAACAAAATATGGATATTAATTTTAAGATATTAAGTTTAATTCTGGTGTCAAACTCCAAATTCATGTGAGTTTGATTTTTTGAATGTGAAAAAGAATTGTTTCTTTTCTTTTATGTGCTGATGTGTGTCAGAGACTGGTAACTGCAACCCCGTAAGGATTAAGTGGATAAAAAAGATGGGTTGAGTGTTTATCTAACAACAAATATGGTAGGCCATTGTAAATCCTTGAACAAGTCTACCAAGGGTGGTTTGGAGTTACTGTACTTACAAATATCAAAATGTGGAAATTGAAAAATAATTGAAAAAAAGAAAAGATATGAAAATTTGAATGTTGGCACTCTTCACAGTACTTTAAGGAGTAAACAGCCTTTTAATTGTATGTATCACCCTGGAGGCCACCTGGGTGGTAACAAAGACTGTTTGTTTGAATAGCTATGTGTAGCTTGCCAACAAAAGCTAAAAGGCCAATGACTGCACTGTGATTTGTATTTGATTTTCTGCCACATCAATCTTCAGCATTACAGTATTTGCTTGCCTTTCACAGACAACTTTAAACTGTCCAATTTATATATGGAAGTGAAAGCTTACATAGAGTGCCATAACCAAGTGTCTGGAATAGTATATGTATAGGAACATCTGTGCAGAGTATGGGCTGAAAACCCCAAGGTCAAAGAGGGAAACACCTCCAAAGATGGTAGAAAATGACTGAGCCAATATCCTGTGGGACTTCCAGATACAGACGGACTGAATGGTAATGGCAAACCAGAGGAAAGCCATTTTGGTTGACATAGCAATAGCAAGTGACTGCAATATCAGGAAAAAGAAAAAAACACAAGAAACTAGATAAATACCAGGGGCCCAGAGAAGAGCTGGAGAAAACCTGGAAGGTCAAGGCATCAGTGGTGCTCGTGGTCATTTGGGCACTCGGGGCAGTGAACCCCCAAACTTGAGAAGTGGTTACAGCAGATCCCTGGAAATACATCAGACATCTCAGGCCAGAGAAGTGCAGTTCTAAGAACTAAAGCTCCCAGGCCTCTGGTAGAGAACCCGAGCTTGGAGAAAAAAACAAAGGGAGACCGTCCATGGTGGGCGAGGGAGAGGGTTTTTTTTGTTGTTTTTTTTATATATAATGGTAAGATATTTGAAAAAAAAAATGTGGAAGGCTTGTTATTAACCAATTACACCCCACATCTGATTAAACCTGGCTAAAACATGCCATTTTAACATGCCATTCCTAATATTCTGATCTGATTTGGCAGAATAATAAAACTGTTATCTTACTGAGAGGGATGGTTAATGCAGAATGACAATCCGACTGGCCTGAGTGTAAATGCTGGTTAGCATCATGTTATTCACAGATTATATCTGTACCTCATGTCAATGTGATGTATTTACACTTTGAGTGGCAGGTTGCTATGTCAGAATATTCCGACTGACATATTTACATGATTTTTTAGTCTGATTAAGCGATTTATTCACATTACTTATGTTCATATAAATACTACAATTAATTTATTTATGAATCCAAATAAATTTAAATCTGTTGGTAAATTTACATGTAAACATCCCTAATGTTGCATTGTATTATAATCTGCATAGTGACTAATTAGTTTTCTTTTTCTTTTCTTTGCAACTTCAGCTTTCATCTCACTTAAAACTTATTCAGTTCCCCTTGCTTTTTGTAAGCTCTCGTTCTCTGTAGTTAATGAGTTTTCGCAGCATTTAAGTTACTTAATTAAGTCAGATCCTTCTGTTGTTTCTCATCTTGTGCATGTTTTTATGATGCAACCTTTTCTGTGGTTGGTCCAGCATTGTATCCTGGGATTTTGTTTTGGTTTTACTAACTTGAACTCCAGTTTGTACTTTTTCTTTCTTGATTAAATACGCACTTAACCAGAAACAGGGACAAGTCATTATGTCTCAAGCCACAAGTGAGTCTCGAGTTTTTAATGTCAAGTCTAACAAGTCCCAAAGCAAGTTCAAGTCTTATGCTTTTGTTATAGGTGGTATGGTGGGATACTGCCTGGACAACACCCACCATACCACTTGTAACACTTTGAATTTGAAATCATTCACCATTCATAAATACTTATCCTTGAATTATTAAATAACATGAACAACTATTTTTACTATGAGTTTTTGCATGGTAAAGTTGGAATTTTATCTGAATAAAGTCATTTAAAGTAAGATTCATGTCCAAGACACAAGTCATTAGTCTTCAAGTCAAAATCATCCAACAGTTCTTTTCTGATATAACCAAGTTTGGTCTCAAGTAGTCAATCTGTGACTCCAGTCAAGTCAGAGTCCATACCTGTGTTGTCATCAAGAGTCTCCCTTTTCCCTCTCTATTTTTACTGTAGGTTCTCCAACAATTCAACATTCTGTCACAGTAAAACATTCATCCTTTTTCTGACACCCTTAATTCCAAGTGGGGTCACTAGGGGTGCTGTTGCATATCTCCAGCTGTCTACCGGCGAGAGGCAGGGTACACCCTGGACAGGTGGCCAGTCCATCACAGGGCAATACAGAGACAAACAGGACAAAGAAACATTAACACACATCTAAGAAGAATTTCGAGAAGCCAATTAACCTAACAGTCATGTTATTGGACTGTGGGAGGAAGCCGGAGTACCCGGAGAGAACCCATGCATGCTCAGGGAGAACACGCAAACTCCATGCAGAAAGACCCCAGGCCGGGAATTGAACCTGCAACCTTCTTGCTGCAAGGCAGCAGTGCTACCCACTCTGCCCACTGTCTAAAACATTAATTACCCAAATTTATATTTAGACCCATCCTGGTATTCTAATCTAGATATCCCAATTATATTTAGTTAGATGAAGACCATGGTTGCTCCACATCAGGACCAGTGCTGTGCTAGTACAATACCTCAAACCGGATTGTTGTTCTAATTAGCAGCCTTAGGAGGATCCATAATCTGATATATTATGCTCCATTACTTGTTAGGTGCTTCATCTGCAACAGATATAATAGAATCGTCCCAGAATCTTAAGAAAACCCCTTAAAGAACTCCAAAAAAACCTTTAACGAGGTTACAAGTCAGTCCGAAACCTTATAAAACAAGTACTTAGAGAATAACAATAAAGATTTTATTTAATTTATCTCAATGTGGCCATGTGAATGAATTTTGGAAAGACTTGGGTTGTTTACTTTAAGGGTATATCTTTTTTTTTTTTCCCCAAGGTTTGCTTTCCTGCTGCCTGCACTGATATCTGTGTTTATTACTTCCCTTTGGGAGTAGGTTCATTTACAACCTCTTCTGTATGACCTGAGGTTATTCAGGGCACCAGCACCAACTGCATCTGTGCAAATTAACAAAGTTATTCACTAAAGTCCTACACACTGTTGTTATATTGGATTTTTATTGCTGTATCTCCCAGTGCAGAGGTTTCTAATCCTCAGTCTGGTAGCTCAGTATTCCCAAACACCACTGCCTTGTTTCACGAAGTCAAGCAGAGCGATTTAATAATACATACCTCTTGGCCAGTGCCATGTGTCATACCGATTGACAGCTTCCCACTTTTTTTACTCTTTTATTTCTCAGCTTAAACAGGGTGAATTACGACTTGTAAGCAATAAAAGAGAGCACGAACTCAGAGTTACTATGACCCACAGACGACCTGCACATAACAAAATGGTCAATGGAATGTTTATCTCCCCTGTCGCTCATGGTGACTGACAAGTGTGTATTGAAGAGAGTCTCACTGCTTCCTCTCACAGCAAATACGAAGACGAGGCATGAGCTGCAGGTGTGATGAGGTCGAAGATGAGAGGCCAGAAGATTTGACAACAGGTGTAAAAATAGCTGTCTTCCCAGTGGCAGGGACTGCATACACATGCTAATTTGTAAGTGCACATAATTCTTCATGTCAAAGCACAGATTTTATAGATACTTTTTATCATTCTACAGACACTATTCAGAGTTTATTTGCATGATATGCTAACGGAATAGTATTATAAATGTCCTTTTTCTTTGTTTTCCAGATCAGTGGTCCTGACAATGAGTTTACAATGATTGTTGGGATCAAGGTTAAGCAAAAAGCTTTTGGACAAAATTGAAACGTCTGCAAAAATGACATTCGGTTCCTGATTCACACCCATATATGATGGCAGAGACTGGATGTTAGTCTTTAATTGCATTGTTTCCACCTCATCACAGTAAAATATACTTTAAAAATGGATTTAACTCTTCTGTGTCAGAATTTTTTTCATTACATGAATGAATCCATTGTTTTTGTTTTAAAACAAAACATATATAAATTAAATGGTTTTTAAGGAGTGCATATGTTGCTTTTCATATTGGAGATAAAAATCTGTAAACGGACTTTACCTATATTCTGCTTCAGAGCACTCGAATTTCAGCTTGATTGTGCAGCACTTGAAAAAAAAAAAAAAAACATCATTTGGTTTCACACTCCTACAATATAACATCTTTTTTAGAGGAAAAAGTGCCTCCAGCCATAAGGCCGCATTTCTTTGCCTCTGAACTAAACCTTTTTATTATCCTTGACAAAATATCTAGTTTATGGTAATGTCACTGATTGGATGTGCCATGCCCTGAGCAAAAGAAGCCAGAACTGAAGAAATTCTAACATATGGAGCGATATATAGAGCTGTGTCCTCAATAGTCCTCACACAAGCACAGGTTTTCAAGTTTGTCCCTATGAAATTTAGCAAATTTAAAACATTGCCTGCTTCTTGCAGTGTCCTTGTGTATTTTGCATCTTTAGGAAATGGCAGTTTCAAGAGACGCTTTGAATTAAATATCAAGAAAAAAGCATAGCCTTGCACATTAGCATTGTCTTGAATTTAACCTCTGACAATGTAATGGTACAAGATGCTCAAATCATATTATTAAGTGCATGATTAATTGTTGGTACATTGATTTAGTTTTGAATATTTATGCATTTAATCCTCTAGTTTTCATACGGACTTTATTTGGTAGATCAACACAAGATGCTGCATAATTATAACTTTTGCATGTTATTTTATTTATTTATTATTTTATTTTAACACAGATTTTTATTTTTAAACAGAGGTTGGCAGAGAGCACTGGACTGAGCACAAATACAGGTTAATAAAACAGTATGTTGAGACTACTTTACAGCTATTTAGCACTTTGTGTTCTTATCTAATTCAAATTCAAATAAGATTGAGGTGTAAGTAAATCACCTAGAATAAGTAAATCAGGAGAACTGTAGATTAAACCAGTAAATCTGTGTTTATTTATTCAAAGAAGGTTCGCCAGCTGGTTAAAAAAAGGTGGAGAGAAAGTGTTACATACAGTTTTATGTGTGTGGAAAACAAATGTGCACATCGTCTTTTATCGTTTTTAACAGCTGAGATATTTTTTTCCCTACCACATGGACTTCAACAAATAGAAAAAAAAAAAATATGTTCATTCACAGGCAGAAGAATGCAGCTCAGAGTGGAAACAGTAATAAGAAGTCACAGTAAGGCAGGCCCCAAATGACTGAGGATCTACCTCAAAAACATGTAGTCAGAAGAACATTTCAGATCCAGTGGGGATTTTTTTTTTTTTTACCTGACTTTGCAGGCTTTCATCTTTCTTCCTCTCTCTTATCTCTCAGCGTTTGAGCAGATTCCTCTCACCTCTCTTTTCCGTCTGCGATCTCCTCTCATGAATTTCATTGCCTTCATCGAGCGTTTTCTTGGTTTGGAGTTTGGAACGATGCTATGCATTGTACGCTGCTGTCAGTCAAATAGATTACAGCACTGGAGGGTTTTTATTGTTCATCCTCCAAAATAAGTAGATGACTCCTGACTTCCTGGCCAGATATTTCCGAAGATGTCTGCTTTTTTGACACTCTTGGGGTTTGTGATACAAACACTCCCCCCACCGCCCCCGGAATCAGAAAGCTCCTTTTTCTGATTCCATGCACATCGCGTGCAACCAAATAGCTTTGGATCTAAGCAGAAGGAACTCAAATGAAATCTATTCATACCATTTGTATTTCATCTGTTAAGCATCATCAAATAGTATATCCTCTACATTCGTGTCAACACTCTCACATGCCTGACAGTTTATAAAGACGTAGCTTTGTGTGGCATAGCTACATTGCTCTTTCCACAGAGACATGGAATGAGCTCCTCTGTGACAGAGGAATGACTATGACTGCAGCAAAAAGGCTCCTTTAAGCATTATACACGCATCAAAGCGGATCTCTAGTGAGACTATCTGTGACTTCTTCTATGTCCAAACTACGGCTTCAGTTTTTTAAAACGAAAATATGCAAAAACAATAACAGCCTGAACTGCTCAAGGCACTACTTTATTATTTGTATTCCAGAAATTGTTTAGTTGTTCAAAGAAACGTTTTGAGTTGTACGCCATGTCCTCCCCACATTTATCTATAGCTTTAAAAGTTTAAAAGTTAAATATGAAAACCTGGAGATGGGTTGGTCCATGGTGGCCACCTTTTTGGTTTTCAGACATATAGGTGAGACTCACTGAAGATGAAGAAGAGAGGATGGTGTTGTGTTTTTTTTTTTTTTTTGGAAATTGGATTCTATTTTTGACCACTCAGAGACCTCCATCTTATCCTGCAACCCAGTCCTCCCACTCAATTTCCATCCCACCGTGTGAAAATTGGACTGATATAAAGATGTGAGCTTCTGATGGAGAAGGCTGTCTAAGATCATGGAAAAAAAAGAGGGCAAGGGAATGGCGGAAGATTCAGACGGTGAGATACTGCGGAGAGTGTAGATGGAGAGCGACATGGTGGCAACACACTGATTTCACCATTTTCAGAGCAGCAGATGTCTCACATAGATCTACCTGTGATAGCTTTTCCTCACATTATGAGACAAGCTATATTCTATTCTTAAGTAGTGAAAATATATGCATAGCCTAGCAATTTATAATAAAACGGTTTATACAGGTAAGAAGAAAAAAATTAGAGTGCCCTATATGACTCAAGGGCTGAAAACAGGATCTAATCTTTTTTGGAACCACTTAGAATTCAAAACATGGCTAAGCTGAAACAAAGCCAACCCCAAAAGCCCAGCTCTACTGCTCCTCATCCTCTCAGGTGGACAGAACAAAACCATGACAATGCCATTGCTCATTTTGATTCATTGCACAAAGCAATTTAATAAGACTGCAGTCAAAATCTCTGCACTTCAAATGCATCTCCAGTGCTCTTCTAACAATGGAGTATTTAACTGATTGAACAGCATGCATAAAAAGGAGGGTGAAATCGTTGGCTTAAAGTAAGAAGTGAAATCAATGAATAGAACTGAAGCCTAATAGTCCAGTGGAATGGCGTGTGTGTGCTGTTGGTCTGCATTCATAATGTATGGGTTGACAACCCATTAGGCACTGTTAAAACAAAATCAGATTCTGGCTACTATCCAAAAGCCATTAGCCGATGGGGTCAACCTGAAGACTTTGTAATTGACCGATTGATTTAGGAAAATTGTTGGTCTCTGGGAGAAGCAACAATTTTGTTAATTGCATTTTTTAAATTGTGCAAAGGGATAACAGGTGTGTAACAGAAATGATAGTGGTGAGATTGGTCCAGCAATCAGCCTGTCCAATTATTGCCATTTTCTTTTAGAACATGCCCTCCCAGCTCTCAGCTAAACATCAAGCATATTACTTTGAGTACTGAATTGTTGTATCGGTAAGAGCTGAAAGCTCTATCAATGGTGCAAAATGGCAAGATAAGAGGCCGTCTTTTTCTAATAATCTTTTAAAACAGTGGCCTCATCATTAGAGGATAGGGTAAGCCATGTGAACAATATAACATAACAAAAAGCTTAAGCTCAGGTGGCAAAGATTATCGATTCTCGTAAAATGGTTCTTAAATAGATTTTTAAACAGCTGCTTTAAAAGTTTCATAAGCACCTCTAAAAACGTAGGGTTAAAGGAAGGAGGAAAACGAAGAAACTTTGTATAAATATAATGACATTTGTCCTTTACAGTTCAAGTAAAAAATATGATTATTACAGGAAAACATTCATAAAAGTTAATCTTTCAATAACCTGGTTATAAAAATGTAAGCATGCTTAAACTGTCAGGTTTGGTGGGTGTTTGTTGAGGACCCAGATGCAGAGATGGAGAGGCAGAGGTGATTTCTTGCAGATATAATAAAGATGTTGATAGTACAGAAGAAAATAATCCCCAAACAACAGGCAACAATCTCAGGAATCAAAAACCAGAACACACTCAGGGAAACTAACACAAGAAATAAAGTAGGGAAGAGAATCCAGCAATGAGGAACTGGAGGTGTATATATGGGAGACAGAACAAATAATGGGCTTATCAGCTACAGTAATAGGGAGCAGGTCTGGATAGATGTAACTAGCAGGGAGCTAGGGGAAAGGAGACTGGCACCAGGGGACAATAGAGAGTAACTAAAAGAATACAACACTGCTTAAACATAACTAAAAAACATCTAGAATGACACAAAATGGAAAAGAAAGCAATTACCAAGAAAATACAGGATGACATAAATATAAATTTAAATGAAAACTCAAAAAGAAAGTTAATAGAAGTCCACAATGGGCACAATGTCATAAACAAATCAAATGCTAAGGTAATGTTTCACTTATTTTCAGCGTTCAGGTTTTTAAAGTATATTCCTGACGTTTGCTCTTTTATGTGTTCTTGCTTACAGTTTAGTTTGCAAGATTCAATTCAGCAAATTTAAAACATTGGTGCAGTTCATATACTGCAAATCCAATGGCATTCGAAAAGCAGAAACATGTACGTGAGGAATATGAGTGAAAAAGAATATTAAAAAGGCAATCATTCTTTAAACAAATTAATACTATAAAAAGAAAAGGCAAAACCGCTTCCAAAAGGCCAAATTTTGGTTGTGTTCATCTGTTAGTAATCACATCTATCTTCTGCATGTCTACTCTATAAAGTAGGGTTTGGAATGTCTTCCAAAATGTGAAACAATCACAGAAAGAACACAATGCATATAGTAAAACATAGTGGTGGAAGGACCTGGCTATGAATTGTGCCTATTACCTTCAAGTCCAAAATGTTTAATTGTGTGCTCTAAAGATAGAGATGAATGGAAATTACGTTTTTTTTCTTCATGTCCAAAGTCCAAATGGGAAACAAACAGCAAAATATAAGAAATTTGCCAACTCCAAAACAATCAAACACAAAACAGCAACA